TCAATCATTTTATTTCGGCTCTCTGACCTAAAACCGAACAACACAAAAAGTACCGAAAACAGACAACAAATACAGAAATACCTGGAAGACGAGAATAAATTAAAATACGTACAAATACGCGCCCACCCACCAAAAAATAAAATAATACGAGTATACAAAAAAATATGGACACGATTCAAAATCGGGCAATGCTTATAACTTAATTTAAAATGATAAAAGACACATAATTCTGTAATTGTTGGAATCCGTGGATAATTTACATGGAGTAAAAAAGTGTTGCGCTTGGAATAAAACAGCCTTAATTCAGTTTAATGTAATAGAATCCTAACGACCTCCTCAGTCTCTGATTTTTGAAAACCTAATGATTCAAATGATCGTATACGATTATGATAGCTGAGAAATCGCCAAGATTAATTTTGCAGTAAATATATATGAATACAGCTGATCCTGAATGCTGTAAATTCTGGGTCTGGCAGTCTGGGATGTTAATTCGTTTTGTAAAAACTTATATAACAGTATAATGGTACCGGTACCGAATTTTTTAGTATATGCAATTTTGCATGCAGAAGAAGAATTTAGAAATTTAAATGAAATTGATATAGACTATAAGTATAATGATAATATTATATTTGTATATTTTGATTTTCCTTACTACTCTAAAAACAGAAGTACGGTACCAAGTATTTAATTAAATTGAAATTTGGAAAGTACCGTACCCGTACTGAATGTTATTACTATAGCACGATCAGACGATTGACAAAAGATATAATTTACATTTTTATTTCGGGGTAGAGGAATGCCGATTGCAAGCTACAGCTTCTCGTCCAGTTACAGAGTTACCAGTTCAATGTTGGGTACCGGTATGGAATTGATAAGTCGGTTTGTTTCAAATGCGTGGACTTGGTGAAGGAGGCAGTGAACCAGAGTTATGTGAACCACCCTATTTTGACCAAATTATTTATTTGCAATCGCTTGTTCAAGTTTCACTGAATTTGACAAATTTTTAAATTACAGAATTAAAAGATATTTAATCTTTTTACTAAGCTATCAGCTTTTAACCTGCAATAGAAATACTTTTTTAAATTCGAGCCATTAATTATACTCAAAATTGTCGGGGGAAATATTACTGATTCCCAGACAGATTAAAGTTTTGAATCTGGTTTAGTTTGATTCTACCTCAGCCAGTTATGACGATTATTGAGGCATGACTGGCCAGAATATTCTCATCTCAATTTATGAGCGATTGTGCTGCTAGCTTTTTGTTTTTTCATGTTAGGTCAAGTCATGGTAAAGTTGACTAATACTGAATAAGTCCTCAATCCTTGTTCTAACACAGTAACATAGAAATTCACCTCAAGTGCAAAAACTTTTTGTCTTTTTCCAACCTGTGGGTCTGTGTCGACTGTTTTGAGTTTTGTTTACGGTCTTTGTCATAAACTGGGTTGCCTGAAATCATCTGTGTCATTTGTTTATTTTCAACAAAAATTGGTAAAAATTCCCGATTTCATTGCTAGTAGACTTTATTGTTGATTTTATATTAAGTATTATAGTGTTGCTCATTAGTAACTGTTTATGTGGTATCATAGCATAAAAACTTGGCAGTATCTGTTTTGCTTAAGTGAAGCCACGCCACGATTTTAGAAACTCGCTGATTACAATCAGGCAGATGTGGATTCGATTTGCAAATATTATCTTTTGTACTAAGGTGACTTTGGTGCTCCAGAGGTATGTGTACCAATATGGAAGTAACTAATTTTGTTTGCTTACTTTACATTAAGTTGTATAAAGAGACTGAAGCCTATGGGCAAGGTATATTCACTTGGCTAATACTGACGGTACCGAACTCGTAATAGAACAAAAATAAGGAAATTTGGAATAAAAATATGGCTTAACCCTAACCTGGTATACATACTACGGAAGTACCGGAATTTCTAGGTAAAAAAAGGCCATTCAAAAATAATTGTTTCACACAGTTTTTCAATTTTGCGACTGAAAAACACTACATTGCGCTTCTATGTGAGCATATCCTTGGGTGGTGAAATATCACAAAATTTATTTTTTAATAAAATTGAGGTGGTTTGAAAAAAGGTTGGGAAACATTGTATTAGAGCAAGCTTTCCATATATATTGTTTTTCTCATGGAATTGTAGGCAAAAACTCTGTATGTTCTGCTGAGAATGGGACAAGTTAATGTAAGTAGGTTTTATTTCTTGGTGTCTTTGCGACTCATATTTATCCATTTCACTGTTGTTTATGAAATCTCTCATTATTACTTTACCTCCATATTATGACTCCACTTATACTTGGGGTTAAAAATTTGCTGCGACTAAGATTTGACTTTAAATTTTGAATGACCTGTGGCTCGACTTCAGACTCGGCATTTAGAGACTTCTACTCAACACTGTTATTTACATGGGAATGGGAATCATTGAAGCATGACTGGTCAGAATAATCCTAATACTAATGTCAAAGTGCTGTTGCTGCTAGTTTCTAGTTTATCAGGCTTTTGGTCAAGTGAAGTTTATTTGAGCCAAGGTTTTTATGGTTTAACAGGTAAAATATTTGTCCCAAGTATGATATCTAACTTACAAATATAACTTACGCCTGTTTTCTATTTTTCAGAATCTAATCTTTAAAATGTGATAATGCAAGCTTTGGTGATATTTCGTATTCTCAATTTTATTGCTGCAAGTTTCTTTATTTTGTCAGCATTTGTACAATACAATGACCCAGATCCTGAGCTATGGATTCCAGTATATCTGGCTCCTGCTATCATTTCTGGATTAATTGGTTTTAGGCCGTCACTATCTGGATCAAAATTCATAAAAGTTTTTGACTTTGGATATATTTTCTTTGGAACTATTTCATCTGCGTATTTGTTCCATCAAAACTATCAGGATAATTTCATCCACTGGGTGGTGCATGATGAAGTGGGGAGGGAGTTTGGCGGACTTGTGATCGTTATATTTTGGATTATTTTTATGCACGAAACATCACATTTATCTGTGAAGAATTGGTTATTGTCGGTTTTTATATGGATTCCGATTGCAATGTGGATTTATGTTTATTACAATCAGGAATATCGTGAACTTTGGCCTCAACATTGCCAGACTGCTCTTTATCCAGAAAGTTATCCTTCAAGAGAGGAAAGCTGATAAGACAATTTAACAATTTTTATTATAAGAAAATTTCTCTAAGTAAGGTCATGCACACAAAGTCAAAAGCAAAAGAGGTCTTTTTAGATAAGTTACAGGCGACGACAGAAGTGTCAAGAGCTGTTGACATGGTAAAGATTTATATTGATTGACTAGGTTTTAGTAAATACCGGATGACACAAGGCTTAAAGGAGCTCAATATAACTAGAAAAACAGTTGATAAATTGGAGTGTACTAATACTGATGTCCGACAGGTTACCATAAATCTGCCACTACTTTAGAAAATATATTCAAATGTCCTATAAACCAGCATGGTACCAAAAGCCGGGTCTGAAAAGTCAGTAAAACATAATGAAGCATTTGATTGAACATTTTACTACTTGATTTTTAGGATAGAATAGGATTTACATATTTATTCACTTATAAAAGTCAGTAATATGGCTCAATCATATGGACCAGAGCGTCTGGTCTGGTTACCAGTCCATGTCGGGTGTGGGATTAGTCAGCTGGTTATTCATTTTCAGATGCATGAACTTGATGGTGGATGAAGGCAAATCAGACCAGTGGGTAATGTTACGTGAACCACCCTACGGCCGTGAGGAGTCCAGCAATCCTCTCGCACATAATTATCCCTCACAACGAATACGAACCTGCGCTCTAGTGTAAGGTAATCAAAGGTGCTGTGGCGGGCATATTCCCAATATTAAGCCTGATGCGATACATTGTCCTGTTCTCTTTTAATTGAATTTTATGACAAAAAGTAAGACTTTAGTTTGAGAGAAATTAGCTATACATTTTAAATTGTATTCTGAACACCTATGACAAATTCTACATGTCTATCTATAACTGTTTTATTCCTGTCATATTTAGCTTTGAATTACAGAGTCAATAGTTAGAAATATTAGTAAAATGCCTCTTGAAATTAAAGTGAAGACTAATGGACATGCAAATAGGATTTTACAAGACTTGAACAGGTGAGTGTGAGACAGGGATATCTGAAATGATGGGGTTAAAGCCGAGCTCGGGCAAACTACGTGGCGCGGTCCGAAACCGGCCTGTTTGGTAATTCAATCTGGCCCGCCTGATGCTGCCACAACCAAACAAACAAATTTCGTTGTTTCAGTTAAAAAAAAGCTCAAGGGTTCGGGGTTGTATTGTCATTCTTTGGGAGGAATTCTGCCATGTATTTCATGCCTGTAGTTTTACTAATATTCTTCAGTTCTTCATTATTACTGAAATATGTATTATGTATGTAAATCGGGAGTGCGACATGGTCATGACTCATGACACTAGCTTAATCGCCTTGAAGCTCCCATCGCTATCTATTTCTTCAATGCCTCCAGTATTAGTAAGGATTCATTAAAGATTGAATTAGTAAAGTATTATTGAATGTGTAGTGAGGGAAGAATGAGAGTTCCAAAATAGGGGGGGGGGGAGGATTTCACGAAAAAGATTTGGAACCACTGGGTTAAAGCATTGGACATTACTGTATTGGCATTGCAAGTAACACAGTTTGGGTTCAAATCTCATTTGATATATCAAATTTTAATTTCGGGAATGATTTAAAACTGTTCACTATGAAAATTTTCTTGATTTGACTTCTGATGGTGAGACAAACACTTCATTTATATAATACCTGATTTTGCTTCTAAAACTTTACCATCAGTTTTTATATTTGCTACGTTCAATATTAAAAAAACAATGAACAAATGAGTGGATGCATTACTGTTAAAGGAATGATCAAATGCCGGTCCTTTTACACTAAAATAAAACCGTCATCGCGACTGGCACCATGTGATGGCTTTTGCATGTGCTATTCCACGACAAGCCTCATGAGCCATGAGCCTCTTGGACAATAACAAGGGTCCATTCTTGACAAACTCAGATATAAACTATTCTTTCATACTTACCATATATCCTCGCATATAAGCCGATCACCTAAACACTAAATTCGCATATAAGCCAACACTACAAATCGTAGAAGGCCATACACACCTATCACAACCAGGGATGTTCAATTTGAATTTAATATTCAATATGGCTATTCGCTACCTCTAGAATATCGTTTTTAGTGAAAATTGAAATCGCGCACACATCCTAGCGCCCTTCGTCCACGTTTTGATTGAAAACATTTTTCGATCATGACATATTTTAATAAGTAAACAAATAGCTCGTGGAGCCCCTAGGTTTCTCATTCAGAGCCATGGGCACTTTGAGAACCTATGTTCTAGTGAACATATTTATTGGATGGTTTCACGTCTTCTTTGCAAACATGACTCTAGCTCAGGGGTGGGTAAGGTTTTTAAACCAGGAGCCAATAATTTTACCTACCGAGACTGGCGGGCCAAGTAAGTGTGACTTCCATTTTATGAACAATGTTTGCAGTGTTACAACGCAAAATTGGAAAACAATAAGCCTCGTGCCAAAACTAAATTTATCCGCAATTTCAACCAATTCCTTGAGCTATTTTTTAGCTAAAACATCAAAATTTGGTTTCTGTTTGATTGTGGCAGCATCAGGCTGGCCAGATGGAATTACCCAACAGGCTGTAGTTTCCCTATGTCAGCTTTAGCTAATCAGCCACGTATATAGGAGCAGCTATTATGTTCTTGCAAGGTTCATTCTGGTTTGAGATATGACTTATCTATCTAAAGACATCCTGGGTTATGTTGTGGGTGTGAGTTGTCACCCGAGACCCAGTGTTCACTTCAAGAAAACTATGAGTGTGTGCGTTTCTCACAAGCCAGAAATTGAAAAAGTCAAGACTTTCCTAACTGTTTTACTAACATTATATTAAAAAATCTTGCATGCTGCAAAGTTTCTGATTTTATTGTTCGAAAGACACGCAACTCCGGTTTCTGGTGTTCACTCTAAAAAAATTATCAGTAGCAAGAAAAAACTGACATTCTGTTTTCTGATTTAATTTAATAAAAAAACTTTGGTTACTTATGAGAGCGTGCTTTCCTCACAAGCCAAAAAGAAAGTGCAAACATCTTGTTTTTCTGGTGTTCACTCTGAAAAAATTCTGTTTTCTGGTTTATATTAAAAAAAAACTTTGGTTTCTGATGTTCACTCTAAGAAAATTGGGAGTACGTGCTTTCCTCACAAGCCAAAAAATAAACTGCAAATTTCCGGTTTAATCCAGAAGTTAAATAAATACACAGTGCAAGAAAATTAAGAGGGGGATGTGCATTGCAAGCCAAGAAATAAACTGAAATTTTGCTCAAATTTAAGAAAACTCTTGTTTCTGGTGTTCACTCTGCGAAAATTATGAGTCTGTGTTTCATGTGTTTGCTCTGAGAAAATTTAAAGCACAAGAATAAACTAATATTCTGGTGGAACTTGAACATTGCATAAGTGTCTAGGCGGTTTCCAAGTTAGGTATCTTTTTTGGCGCTCTAGAAGAATGTGTACCAATATGGAGGTAACTAATTTCGGGTTCTGGTATAGTTTAGTACCACATCCACTTCTAGTTGGCCTGGCTCAATAATTTTTGCATATGTCAATCCTGAACCCCACCTGACTACGTCACCGAAAAATTACGTCATTTCGACATCACAGTGGCGTAATAAGGCCCACCGAAGTATGCGGATGGTCGTCCAAAACGCGTAGACGATCTCCCGAAATCGAGCAAGCTATTTCTCTCGTTTTCTCGTTGCAACGATCACGATAGGAGAGAGATCGCCGGCTTTAGCAAGTTCGTTATCGGCGGCGCAGATGCCATTTTGGGCGATTGTAATTATACTTTGACAATCCCTACGTGATGGTGACGTCTTAGTGACATAATTTTGAGATGGCATAGTCAGGTGAGGGTTAGGAATAACATATGCAAAAAGCGTTGTGCTACGCTCACTGTACTTGTGGTACTAAACTATACTAGACCCTAATTTTGTTCGCCTACTTTATATCAAGTTGTGTAAAGGGACTGAAGCCTATGGGCAGGGGTATATTCGCTTGGCTAACACAGACATTCCCCGAACTCGTAATAGAACTAAAATAAGGAAAATCTGAATAAAATTATGGCCTAACTCTAACCTGGTACACAAACTTTTTGTTATGACATATTTTAAACAGCGTAGGTACTCTATTATTTCCACTTCCCTCATACCTTTGCTTTATGATATCGGAACAATCATAAATTCTTAAAAAATAAGGTCCAAAAATTCTACCTCTATTATTAGCAGATGTTATAAGATTTGTTTACTACACCACCCCTTATGTGCATTTGTATACCCTGGCTGCTAGTTCCCACCACCCTTTTTCTTAACACGACTGAGCGCAAATAATATCTGTCACTATTATCACCGGATGTCATATCCAGCCTGAATGTCATAAGATCTATTTAACCTGAATTTGCCACATTTGTGTAGCCTTTTTTTCTACATGTCATAAAATTGTAAAATATGACTGCTGACCGCAACAGTTTTGAATTTTTTGGTCAACCACCGAGGTATCACTGTTGTTGTATAGTCAGAATTGACGACGGTGATATCACTTATCTCTATGATTATGTACACATACTTATTCCCTACTTATCAGAGCTGGGTCCATGTAGCCACGGTGTTTTTTTGTGAATGGAGGTGGGAAATGGAGCTGAAGCCTGAGCTACCAGGAAATTAGTGGCTCCAACTTTTAACCATCTAATTCTTTTTCCAGACTTATAATTTTCTCATATTTCTTACAAATAACTTCATACAAATAAAATCCGCAGGCATCCTATAATTTATTTTCAATTTTGATTTTCTTGTAAGAAATTGAAGTTTCAATTTTACAATCTAAAAGTCCCTATAACACAGATTTAACTCTCGCATAACTGTATCTGAATTAATGTGTCATGGTAGTGCTCATACCAAAAAAAAACATTAATTATTTCAAAGCTCAGAAGCGAAAAATAAACCAGCAGATTTTGAGTCACATTTGATAATTGTAGCTTCGGAATTAGAGCTAGAACCATAGTGATTTCAAATCAGCTTCCCAGCCCTGTATTGAAACTTGCAAATTCACACAAGGATTTCCTGTGCGGAATAGAAAACACATTTAGTGCAATGCTGATTTAAAATTTAATTTTGCAGAAGCAGAAAGGAAACTCGAGATCATTGTGATTTCATGATCATAGCTGGCTCTGAAGAAATCCCAGTTCATAAGAATATTATATCTGTAGGATCTGATTATTTCAAAGCAATGCTGGCTCATAATGTGAGTTGTGTTTATACATTGTTGATGTTTATGTGATATCTCAATGGGTAACTGTTTTAGTTAACTCTTTTACAGTTGGTACTGTTACCCTTGTTAATGTAGTTTTAATCATTGGCATATCATACTTCAGAATGCTGAGACAGCGTCTGGTAAAGTGGAAATGAAGGAAGTTGATCCATTATCCCTGCAACAATGCATAGAATACATTTACACTGGTGAATTGTCTACTACTGATGAAAATGCTGAATCTTTGATGTTTGTGGCTGAATTGCTACAGTTGAAAGGTGATGTTATGAAATAGATCTCTCTTTTAGATTGTACCGAGGTTCACTCAATCCTCTTTGATTTATATTAACTAGACAATCCTTCCCACAAATGGAGATATTTGGTTTGCGAGTGCCCGCATTTCTATTGTTATCCTGGACAGTTTCTCATTGCCCCCAGTTGCTATTTTTACTGAATACAGACATGTTTATTTCTGATTTAATTCAGTTAATTACTTATCGATCTTAAGATCGGTAAGTATATTGATAGGTATTTGTCTGTATGTCTGTTAGATGAACGCGATATCTAGCGAATGCGAGGTTGAATCTGCTCCAAATTTGCATGTGCATGTGCATGCATCTTACCTCGGACCAGAAGCCTATAGATTTTGGGTTAATTATGTCGTATAATTAGCGAGTTATTAAATAATTACCGATCTAAGATCGATATGTCTTCGGTCTCCGACCGATATTCTCGTTTGTCATGTCACTATTTATCAATTTCCAAGTCAAACATGGTTACTTTTACGTAAATGAAAAAAAAAATTTCAACGCTCGACTTCTATTTATGTGATTTGATGATTGCAATTAAAAGTTTCAGTAATCTAGGACGTTTTGCACAGAAGTTATGTTCTCTCTAGAACTGACATGGGCTAATTACGGCCCGCGGGCCAAATCTGACCTGTTGGGTAATTCAATCTGACCCGCCTGATTCTGCCAGAATCAAACTAAAACCAAATTTTGATGTTTTGGCTGATAATAGCTCAAGGAATTTGTTGAGATTGCGATTAAATTTAGTTTTGGCACAATGCTTATTGCTTTCCTCTTTTGCTTTTGTAACACTGTAAATATTGCTCATGAAATGTAAGTTTACGTCACACTTACATGGCCCGCCCGTCTAAATTGACAAAATTTTTGGCACCCGGTCAAGAAATCTTGCCCACCTCTGCTCTAGAATATGTTCCAAACGGCATGGATTCTGTTGTTTTTTTCGGTTCACCCTGTATTAATTCACTACATCACAAGGAAAGGCTACCAAATAGCAATATGTGAGAAGTTTGTTTTATTATAACAGTTCGTTTTATCATAACAGATGTCTGTGGAGGCATCGTTGAATCACTTGAAGAAAATCTCGAAGCATCTACAGAATCATTCTTTGTGACAAAAAGAATCGCAAACCTGTACAATTACAAAGAATTGATGCAAAAATGCGAGAAGTTCATGCTGGATAAATTTGAAGAAATTGCTGTTCTTGATGATTTCAAGGAAATAGAGGAAAAGGAATTTGTTAAATTGATCAAGTCACAAGAAAACAAGGTATTTGCAGTGTTTTGTTTCAAACCTTCATTTTGAAAAGACTTTTTACAAGTAGTCACTAATTTCATTGGGAGGAAGGTTTTGAGTTCAGGCTGACCTAAATAACTTTCCATGATACAAGCAGCCACTCAATCATAAGAAACTACCTGGCTTAACCACCTCGGTTAATCTGATAGGAGTGGCCTTCCTGCCCTGGAATGCCTGGTGTAGCCTGCTAGCCACTAGTTTTTTTAATTAAATAAATATTCAAGCAAGGTCTTCCAATACAATACATGAATGCTGGGCATTTGTCAATTCAGTAGTCTAATTAATAGATACAACTGAATATCCCCATGTTCTGCATTCTTTCTAGGCATTAGAGAGTGTCAAGCTAGAGGCGTTGATATCTTGGATAAAACATGAGCAAAGAAATCGCAAAAAACTTCTGAAGAAATTGAACAACTACATTGATTTGCATAAAGTACCGGTGACTTATAGAAGATTCCTTGTTGAAAACGAGGTCGGCTACTTTATAATTTACATATTAAAACCATTCCCTTTTACTAGGATATTTGAATATACTATTGGGATGTTAGTTGACCAATATTGACGAGCGCTGTGGGGTCGGCGTTGTGGATATCTTTATTTTCAAATTACCAGGGGTCATGATTCAAAGCCGGAGTTGAAATCTTTATATCTTGATGCCGAAAAATCAGCCTTATGTTGTCGATGATCAGAGTCAAAATTTCAGAATAAAACTCAAAAGAACGTTAAGTTACCTCAGTATTCACAACGCTCAGTTTAAGAAAGATAGCATAGGCAAAGCGAATGTTTTGGTTTTTAAAATATGTTTTTTTGTTTTAAGTTTGCAGGTGGAGACAAGACAAAATTTTCTTTAATCCGGAGTAGTTTTTAAATGGGTTTAGGATCGAGTGTATACTCCACAGTCTTACTGATGATTTGTCTACGTTATTCTATATTTCTGCGAAATCAATTTCCTTTTCTTATATCATTGAACATTCATTGGAATAACATAACGCACTTTGGTTGTTACAGCCAATGGTAAAGTCTTGTCCTGAATGTTCTCACGCTCTACTAATATCTGTGATGGACAGCTTGAACGTTGGTGCTTCAAATGTTCACTCTGCTGCAAATATAAAACAAGAAGAAAAAGAGGCAAGTAAGTTGAATTAAGATGTAGACAACACAGAATATCTTTTATCACCTAAAACTTTGAAATTAACCTAACTGTTGATTGGTTCTAATTCGAACGATGCTATAGTTAGTTGTCTTTGCTTTTCCTTTCTGATACAGACTTTATTTCATACAGTTGCTGCGTTTGATGAACACTCAATGAGCCTACAATGCTTTGATCCTCGGAATAATTCTTGGACAAGAATGCAGGTTAGTATTTGAAAACCTTCAGCTCTTGTATCTCAGTCTAATCGTACTGTACACAGAAAATATCATTCATTAGTTTCCAATATTACTCCAGAAGATAAAAACTATTGATGCGTCACATATTTGACCATCTTTCATCACCTTTTGTATTTCACCCTTTTAGAATTGATTTAAACTCAGCAACCTGACTTGTACTATTTAACTTTGCTATTTAATTGGAGTATGTAATATAGATAGCATATATATATTTATCCCGGGGGAGCGAAAAGCCGATAAGACGGCTTAATCATATGGCCAACCACGGCCTCTCGTCCGTTTACCAGTCCATGTCGGGAACGGGATTATTTTTTTGCAAGCATTGACTTGATGGTGGAGGATATATAAGAATTCATCATATATACAATGAGTGTAAAAAAGGTGACCGAGCTAAACTGGGAAGAAACGTATTTCCTAACACACAACAACGTTAAAACCACAATGTCTGGTGTGTTTTCAAGTAATACCAGTTACGGAAGGATATAATTTTAAGCGACAATACAAAACCAAACACGAGACGAGATACCGAAAATACCACGGCATTTCTCTGGAAGCAATTTTAAAATAACAAAAGATTCTATATATCTTAAAAAAATGATTAGAACGGTAAACTCTATACTCTGCTATAGTACATTTAAAGAACACAAAATAAAATATAATTTTAACAATAAATTATTTGGTTGATCATTATTTCTGTGGGTCAGTATGCAAGACAAGAGTTAGGTCACCGAGGCTCCTGGCCCTTGCTGTATATAAGTAATTAATCAGATATAGCTTCAGCAATGAAGTCAGCAATCCTCTCGCACATAACCATCTCGGCATGGAGTTCGAGCCTGCGATGTGCCACACGTGGTACGATGGACGATTATTTGAGCGGTATTAGATTCTCTCATCCCGACACACTCATTTATCTTTATCTATCTTTGACGACGATTTCTTCAATGTAATATTGTTTATTGAAATTTTCTAGAATATGCCTGGATCAGAAACTTACTTTTCTGCTGTGGCTCTTGGTGACTACATTTATGTTCTCATGTATGATCAATCTGTCCATCGGCTGAAATACTCAGATCATGGAGCTACTTGGGAGAGAATGAAAGATATGATGTATAACTGTGGGCGGTGTCCTCCTGTTGCTGTTTTGTCTGGTAAGAATTGCTTCAAAAATTCTTTTGCTAAACAATATCTTGTTACCTCTGCCAAACGGCTAGTAATTGAGTAATTACGCTGTCTTGTTTGGCGTGAAGTTACCTCAAGAATTCTTAGTACTGGTCTTTTTAAGAATTTAATGGAAAACATATTTTAAGATCATTTGGTATCTAATTCCAGTTCAGCCGTGTATTGTAATTATATCACTTCGTTGTGGGTGACCCAAAATTTGTGCACAAAATACTGATTTTTTTTCTGATTTGTAAAACTTGTCACTTAATCAAAGTGTACAAATGCAAATTATATTTTCATATTAACACCATTGAAGAATTATAGCATAATTTATTTGTGTAAGAAATAGTAGTTGTTTTGTAAGATCATATATTTGAGTTCAGGAAAATAAATACAAAAATTGCAAAAATAGTTAGGATTGAGTTACATTGCTAAAACACGCTTATCTGGAATTGAAAGGCCAAAGGACTTGAGTTTATCATACAACACACTAACACTCCTGTTTTAAGATTAGTAATTTATTTGTGTTTGTATATATCCCATGAAAACTTTTTTTTATTTTTGGTTATGTTTTGTCTTCCATTTCTATTGTGTTATTTATTATTATGACATGATTTATATTTGTATAAATACCACAAGTTTGCTTTGCCCTAGGACAAATAGTTCTTTACTTTATCTTCTAATATTTTTCAAGTATCATTTGCTTTCTATCATTGGTCTGAGATATTTATTGTTTACAGGAAACATATACGTTGTTGGTATTTTCGATAATTACTCAAAATCAGTTGAAAAGTTTGTTCCATCAAGCAACAAATGGGAAAAAGTAAAAGACAAAAATCTCAACAGTGCAAATTCAACAGCACTGGGTGCTGGAGGTTAGAAGGTGTTGTCTAATAAATAAATGGGTTCTCCCGAAATACATGAATCAAGATGGCGGACACTGGAATGTAGTATGTGTACCAGGTTGGGTTAGGCCATAATTCTAGATACAAATACTTGGATAGTCCCCGAACTCGTAATAGAACTAAAATAGGGAAAATTGGAATAAATTATGGCCTAACCGTAACCTGGTACACATACTAAGTTTCGGTGTCCGCCATCGTAGTTCACATACTTTGGGAGCGCCAAAAAATGTCATATACATTGAACTGATTCGAAACAGGCAGTCATACAACAGGGTTATAAATGGAATTGTCGCTGGACCATATAACCAACCTAATAAATCTAGCTGGACTAATAAATGCTCTGCTTTACAGTAATAAAGGCATCGGACAAAACGGCGAAGTATTTAACACATTAAAAAGTGCATAAAAACATGTAATTTTACTCATGTGAGCGACTTTTTAAACATAAACTGTCGGATTAGCTCTTTATGCGCGTGATGGGGAAAAATCTGATGGGCGCGTGATGGGCCACACTAGATAGCTTTGCGGACACTAAATAGCTTTGCCTGTTGCAAACCCCCTGGTCTAAGCCAAACAAGAAAAAATTCCGTTTTTAACAGACGAGTAGGTCGTTTCGTATCAGTGGTTGCTTTAACAAAATGTTTTTTGAAACAAACTTGCAATACACTTACGGTAAATAAAAAATGACTGCCAACAGATATCGGATTTATCGTTTGTCCTAAGTTTTCATCGAATACCAGAATGCAGAAAACACTTGAAAGTAATAATCCTTGTATAATTCCAGGTTGTATATACAGCATTGGTGGCTATATATCAGGTCGTTACACCAACCAAGTAGAAAGATTTGACCCAACATCATCAACTTGGTCATTTGTTGCATCCATGAATGAAGCAAAAATCAATGTCGCAGCTGTTGAAAATGAAGGGAAAATATATGTTCTAGGTAGGTTGGTGTTTGTTGCTAAAAATATACGAACACTCAAGAAAAAAAAAACATTTTAGTTTTACTTAAAATAGCAATTAACCAGAATATTTCAATGACTATGCTTCAAGATATCAAATGCAATGCCATTATGTTTAAGCATCGTCATGAACTACTAATATTCCATTAATGTTATTCTGCAAGATCGCAGAATTATATTGTTATGCGACAAATCATGTTCAAATGTTTGTATACCTATATACTTACACGAATGCAAAGGTCAATCCGATAGCCATGTAAACTGTAAACTCATAATTACGTACGGTGCTGTTGCGTACTTCTTACTATAAATATGAACTAGTTAGGGTTGGAAATCGGAGTGATATTCTGACATTCATACCGGGTTCCAAAATCTTCAGTTCAGGCTAGTTGAATTTTCCGCATTATATTTATCACCTTGCAGTTGTTACCTGCCAACATGTTAGTTCACTATTTCCTTTTTATTCATTTATTGTCTTGTGTAGGTGAAGTTGTCAATCGCAGAATTATATTGTTATGCGACAAATCATGTTCAAATGGATGGATAAACATTGTTTTGTTTCATTTAGGCAAAATCGCAAGCAGATATAAACAAACTGTTTATTTTATTCAGGGGGATGTACAAACAATTACTTTTCAACAGTTGAACGATATGATATTTCAACAAACGTGTGGTCCACGGTAACTCCCATGTTAACGAAGCGGAGCTGGTTTAGTGCTTATGTGATTGATTCAAATATTTACGCAGTTGGAGGAAGGAACAGGTAGAGTTATTGAAATTTATTACAACATGGTAGGCACTAGGGCAGGGGTTCCCAAGCTTTTCTCAGGACGACCCCAAAGACAACTTTCAAGTGTCCAGTGCGACCCCAGGTCAATATATATTTTTTCCATGTAACTTTAGAGCTCCTTTCACTGAACTTTTGAGTTTGGTCGTGTGGTGGTATTAAGTTAAATAAGCTAAAACATTTAAAGTTTTGATTTTAATTAAACATACCAAAATTACAAAAAAAAAATGTTTTAAAATTGAAAATTTCTTTCATTGGGAATGGTCACTGTTTAAAATTAATCAATTTCCTGTATCTGGGGATGTATGATGTCAGGCAACATACCAAAGAATTTTCCAAGGTAATGTTTGTTATGCGACTCCGATAATCACTTTTAATTAACTTTTACCATACCTCAGCGACCCACCGACCCTGTGACCTGTTTGCGACCATACCTACTTATCACTCCGATCCAATTTGGGGTCGCGACCCCTGGTTTGGGCACCCCTGCACTAGAGTCTTCTGTTTTGGAGATTTTGTTCTGAAATACTTATTCCCTGAGAAATATTTGTTCCCCTGTATTCATCACTATAAGTGTTGTACCAATCTAGTGTCTATATTGTCGATGCTCACAGAAATAAACTGAAATATTTTTATTTTTGTGAATATAGTCATAACTCTGGATAGATAATCGCTTTTGGTTTGAGCTCTTTGTGCGGATAGAAGAAGCAGTATAATCATATTGCTGACTAGTAATTTTTAATCAGAGTCTCCCACTTGCGGCCATTCGTACTTTTTTTTATATAAGGTCAGGTCAATATAGAATTTGAAAATCTTTTCTTCCTGAGTAGCCTAACAACCATTTCACAAATTATTTGTCTTGTAGAACTGAAATAATCTTCTCTGTATATTTTACAGTTCACCGGGAAGCATGGAGAAGTTTGATTTCAAGAAGAATCAATGGGAGATGATTGACATGAAGAACAAGAATCTGAGGATACTCGATGCAGTGAAGATTAATTTGAAGTGATTTGATTGTATATGACAGAGAACAGTTCCTTGTGTTACCATTAAAGGACATGCTAGTAGTTTATGTTTGTAATCTTACTATTATGAAATTGTATGATAGATATTTGACATTTAATAGGTGCTCGTGTTACCACTGAGTAAATTTTTTAAACTTCTATAATGATTTCTTGCATTACTTACCGTACTTAATTTATATAGTTTTCTTAAATGTAATTACTCAATGACATTGCCTAAAAAACTTCAACTCACTGGACATAGCTATGTTTACTACTGATGTGAAGAATTTTTTTTAAATGATTTGTTTGTGTTATTAAATACCCTATATTTGTTTGTAGCATTTTTTTTATGTGAATTCCGATTATGACAGTGTGTAGTCGGACAGAATCGATGCCCATATAAAAAACGATTGTTGGTTGATGGACATTCTGACTCCTGCTCTCAACGACAGGAAAACAGAGTTTATAAATCTTACATTGGCCTCGACTCCTCAGCCCTGATTTGGCTTGCCTATCATTTAAAGTTAATTTTTAAACAATTGGAGTGGGATTCTATATCCTTGTTATGTGGAATTTGTCACCAATATCATAGGTCATGGGAAGCGAGTGTTATATATAGCCAGTGGTCAGTGAAAATTAGGTTGATTTATTATTCCATTCAGTTTTTAATGTCATTCGATATTATCGGGGTATGAAATATTGTCTTGTGCATTCTTTAAGCTGTTTCTTCATCAATTGAAATCACTTATCATTTCTTAATTAAAATCCGTGAATGAATTGCAATTTATAAATTAGCAGATGGCTTTTCCGCACAATATAATATATTCAATATAGTTTCCCTTTAAACCAGGGTCGTCCAACCCATGGCCCACATATGGCCCGGCGGAAGCATTTCGAGTGGCCCGCGCTGAATTTCAGAGTTGAATAAAAAAAATTGAGTAAAACAAGTTTTTGAGTGAAGTAGTAGGCCTATTATTTCCCTGAAATGAGCTCTGCCAGCCCATACAAACGAGCCATGAATGTCATTTTGAATCGAAACCAACTGAGAGGAGATATCGATACATAAAGGTGCCACCATTGCTATCCATGGTCTTTCACTACTCTATATGATTTTATCACAAAACAATCGAAGCCATTCTCAGATAGAGAATTCGTTAGGAAATGTATATTATGTATTGTTCGGATTGCCAATGTTTTACGTCCGGAAATAAAAGAGGTGTTTGCAAAAATAACCTTGTCACGACAGACAATAATTCGTCGTGTTAAGGAGCTTGGGAACTAGTCCGGCAGATAAGGGGACCTTTTTGGCCCAAGTTTGATTTCAGACATAAAGTTTTTTTTATTTGTGATTATTCATCCTGGGGTCATTGCCCATCATTTCTACATGGGTGTGGAGTTTGCAGCCTTGAGCAATTTTTTTTACGGCTCGATATTTGTATTAGTGTTTTTCGTCAAACCTGTGCATCATAATGACGCACAACCTGAACCATAACCTGTTACAATAATATGTTCAGGTTGTGCGCAATCTTGGTGCACAAACTACGCAAGCACCAAATTTATTACGAAATAAAATCAATAACTTTTTGGTATTTATTGAGATATTTGTATTAGTGTTTTTCGTCAAACATGTGCATAATCATGACGTACAAGCTGAACCATAACCTGTTACAATACTATGTTTAGGTTGTGCGCAATCTTGGTGCACAAACTACGCAAGCACCAAATTTACTAGGAAATAAAATCAATAACTTTTGAGTATTTGTTGAGCCCAGCTTTGGGTCGCGACCCATATACAGTATATGGGAATTCTGTCGAAACATCCGCGTAAAATAAAGAGTACTATTTCAAAATACCCACTTTCGTTGCAATTAACAATACAAGCCTGCTAATGCAGTCGCCAGTGGTTCAATGGAGAACAGTCAATTATTTGTTAGCGAGAATTGTTATGCAGCGGGTTGATCACGACGACGCAGTGAAAGATAATATCACGAGAACAAGAATGAGAAAATTGCTACATTTTATAGTATATCTCTGCGAAAGAATGTAGTTCATTCTTATGTTCCATGCGGTTCCATTACATTTGAACCCACGTACATTTGAACCCATGACAATTGCACCTATGGAATTTTTTTTGTTTCACGGATAGTTAAACCCATACTAACCCTAACCCATAGGTTTTAGCACCCGCACATAGATTGAACCCGTGGATATACGCATGGGTTCAAATGTACATGGGTTCAAATGTACGGTCACCGTTCCATGCCAATGCTTTTCAAACTACAAAAGACTCTCAACACTTTCACACTCTCAAGAAACCCTGTCATAAACTAAAAGAGGCGACCGTGCTTCTCCTGCCTGTTGTCATGCTGTCCCTGGAATTCAGCTACAACAAAAATTTCACAAAAACGGATTTTTATGATTTTATTAATATTCTCAACAATGAATGACATACGGGTGGTAAAATGCCAAGTTATTCCAACAACATGATCATGTTTTGCAATTTGCAACCAATATTTTGTATGTACCTTTGTTTGACAGAGCCCCAAGAGCTCTAACTAACTACAAATATCAAAAATATGAGGCCAAAATAGTCACACTACAGCATTGTCAAATGTGCTGTATTTACGATAGATAACAGGTTTAACAAAAAGAATTACATGAAAAATGGTAAAATAAAGATCAATTCAGCAATATCTACTTGGTGATATGCATCTGTTGATGATTTTATGTGTTTGTTTCGGAAGTTTAATTACAGAATTAATTGTGGTTGTTGGGGATGTTTTAAAAAAGGTTGCATGGGAAAAAGTTTTCACAAAATGTCAAGGTTTGATGGTAGTAGATAAGTAGAAAAAATACTCCCATGTTTTTTTTTCATTCGATAACCACGCCACAGAACATCCCCGATAAGAATACGCAGCAATTGCAAGAGGCAAAAATGCCAAGATGGGATTTCATCGCATTGCAAACCAATATTAGCAATTCTTATATATATATATTTGCGCATTCCCATCTGAACAGCGTGGAAAAGAGAATACCCATCTACACACTTTAAGAACTATGTCATATGAGCGTCGTATTATAGAATATCAGTGAAGGAATAGTGCAATGGGAAAAGACATATAAGGCGGAACTTTCAGTAGTATGCAATCAAATAATCTTATTGTTGAATATATATATTTAAAAACATTTCGTCACGCCAACTGCAGTCCGAAACTTTTTTGTCTCTGGCTGAGCTTAGATACCGATTGACACGCATGTAAACTGGTAAGACTGTAAGAGGCACGCGATGGAGCAGATACTACGAGTATCCATCCCCCAGCTGTCATTTGAGTGGGTACTGCTGTTTTTATTGCAGATGTTACTGATCTTTTTGTATTAAGGATTTACTGACATCACCGATTTAGGGATGTTGGAAACCAACACGCAATATTACAAAACTCACTTTCAACACGCGGTTTAAGAGAATGAAAAAGCTGAAACTAGTATTCTTTAGAACAGCATAGAAATTCTATGGAATGAAATCATACACAGAAGCTCGTCAAAAACCTATAGCTCAATAATCAAGTGGAATCTGATGCATGTTCGCAAAATTTGCGCGTTACTATGTACAACCGAAGCACGCAGGAAAATGTGTGTGATGTATTAGTATTCAAAACGTTTGATTCAACTATGTTGGCATAACAGGTGCACATCTCGGTTTCGCATACGCATACCTTCTATCTCCACAGGATACTGTATATTAATTTTTCCAAAGTCAATGCAGCACTGAAAGGTTGCGGTTCTTCCAAAAGAAAACACGTTACACATCTTTAGATACCAGTGGACGGTTTTACATGGCCTTGTTCAGAGTGAAAGACTAGGTCAAATATTCTAATCCAATTCAACTAATAAAATATTTCCCAAGTCCCTAAGCTTAAACTAGGAAAACGAAATGCGCGCGGCAACGCAAATTTAGTTTGAAGAGCGCAATAGAAAGTGGCTAGATGCTGTCGATGGATCTTGGCTTGTATTAGTGAAATAAACTACTATTTATTGTACTAAATTTGGATTTCTGACATTGTAAGGAGATTCAATGTTACTATGTATGCAAAACTAAACCATGTGGTTATGAAATAATTGTTTTTAACAAAAAGGCGCTCCTGAAGTATTCGTACCAAGATGGCGCACAACCTGAACATTGTATGTTTACCAGGTCGGGGTTCAGGATGTGCGTCATCTTGGACCGAATACTTTAAATCCACTTAAAAAAAATTGCTCAACATTATATACTCCACACCCACCTGGGTATTATTATATATGTCATATACATTATATCTAAACAATAAAAAAAACTTTATGTCCCAAAACAATGTTAAGGCCCGATTCTGCCGGACTAAACTCTATTGCGGAAATTTTAATTACAAAAGCGGGAAAATTTTCATCGTTGGCGACTTGCGGGAAGTTAGTGGTCATATAAAATTACCGTGGAGCTCTATTAGGAGTACGAATAGAGGCACGGGTCTGTTGAAAACTGCGATAAAATGATCAAGCGTCTTGGCTTGTCTTCGGCGAAACTTTCGGTAAGAACCCCTGGAGGCGCCGCGTCAATGTTTGGGAAACAGTTTTATTCTTCTAATAATTGTGAAAGTTTGATGTGAGGGTATTGTTTATTTTTTCATTAATCTGTAGTCAGTGTAGCAATACTAGACTATAGATTAACCAAACTCATAACTACCATGTCAAGTGGCCCGCGCAATTATTAGTGAACCACATATGGCCCTTCGGCCAAAAAGGTTGGCCGACCCTGCTTTAAACAAACCTTTTTCAGTGCTATCTGCAAAATACTTATACAATAAATTGCATTCATCTTTGTATGTATGTTGTCGTTATTAAAGTTTATTTCTGCTTCCAATATATTCGATGATGATTAATTTTTTTTTCATCTTTGCTGTATATTTTATCGCATATATGCAATCAATACTTTACTACCATGCATCTAACGCTGAATTCAATTCTTCACTTTTTATCTGTTTTGAAAATACACTGCATAATCACATAGTTTGAATTGATTACGTTTGATGCATTCCAAATGTTTACTTTACATTGTGAGAAAACTTTATTATTAAATAAACTAACGAATTAATTAATTTGTCCATTTCTCAAATTCCAAAAATTTTGGAGGATTGCTTTGGTTTTCAGCGAAAATTTGTTTTTTTAGTCTCGAGTGGGAATTTATTGATGTTGAACCTGGAAAAGGATAGGATAGGATAGGATTTACATATTTATCCCGGGGGAGAGGAAAGCCGATAAGACGGCTTATCCATATGGCGAACCACGGCCTCTCGTCCGGTTACCATTTCAAGTCGGGTATGGGATTAGTTTTACTGTATTGTTTGTTTCCGGAAGCATGGACTTGGTGGTGGAGGAAGCCGTAACCGACCACCGGTTACGTGAACCACCCAACGACGGCGAGGAGTCCAGCAATCCTCTCGCACATAACCATCTCTGCATGGGATTCGAACCTGCGAACCCACGCAGAGCAATTAGAGGTGCGGTGGCGAGCGTATTCCTAACGCTTAGCCCGTTGAGCCACACCGCCGCGCCAATTGACGATTGCACTTTAAAATGTACTTTATTGTGACAAAAAATGAAAACATATTCATGGAGAAGGGGAATTCTAGATCGAAAATTTTACTAATTACATTTCTGAAATTAAAATAGGTTTGTAATATTCTTCAATTTCAAATCATATTTCTCCCATTTCATGAGATATGTACATGTGGTAGGACTCGTGCCTCGATTTCTAGTCCGATGATTGCATGATCTTTACAAGCTCGCAAATTAAAATAAAATTGTAGCCTGTTTTTCGAAACTTCACTGAAACTACCAAATAAACTCGATTTTAGAAAAACAAGCAATTGTTTATAACCAAGCTCGAAAATCTGTCCCAATGTGAAATGCGACTGTTCAATTTCAACTATTACATCGCTGTAATCTTATTGATTATAGCTAATGAATTCAATAAAAAGGAAGTCGATCTAGAAAACAAGCTGTCACAATAACGTATTCAAGTACATACATAATATAGCAGGGATGCGGCCTGTAATAAAATGTTGGATCATTTCCTAATCAGATATCGGGCAGA